AATATTAAAAGAAGTTTGCAGGAAGGCCTCTTTTTTTTAAATCTTATTGTGCAATTCTTGCCAGGGCTTAAACTTTTCGGCTGGAGCCACTGGGAGTTTAAATGTGTTTTAGAAACAGCAAGTAAGTGCTAGTGATATTCTCACATGGCATAAAATAAATTATCAGAAGGGGTTGGTGCATTTTCTAGCCTATTTGGCGAGTCGTACGGTTTGCTTATATCAGAATAATAAAAAAAAACCTGTAAAATAGTATATTTAAACCATTTTGTCTGAACAAAACAAAATGTTGTTCTATAAGAAATTTTGCTGTTTCCCAGTAGCCATCCATTGCACAGGAGCGCAGGTGTGTGCGTTTTGATACGTGCCTTCAAACTGGGGTACCTCGAAGTGAAATCTCTTTCCTATCGTATTTCATCCCCTTTAGAGAAGGTGTGATTTTAACGCCTCTGGGGATTTTATAGGTTTTATTAAGTGGCATAACTCTTTTCAAGGGAAGCTTTTTCACGTTGCACGTTTTATTAGGTTCACATTAAAATTTTTAGAAGTTTAGTTGGTGACATTGTATTTATTAATTCCGGTGATGTATTTTTATAGTCAAAACCAACGGCAAATGGATGTTGTGTTCTCAGAAAGCTGAAGTGTTGGGAAACCAAACGTCAGTCTACAAGGAGTGTTTTTCCCCTATCAGTCAATAAAACCAGGTAACCGATACAGACTGTGGCTTACACCGTCAATCATGATGGACCACATCACCATTCGGTAGGTCGGCCATTGACTTGCCTTCAGCCATGGCTACCGAGAAAAAGTAGGAAAGAGGGTGCAGAGTGGCACAAACTGTACCAATTGAGGGTACCATAAAAGCAACTTGCATTTTTGCTTCCATGTGTGTTAGGTGATCACGTTGTCTACAAGGGTAGTCCTCACGTTTCAGATAAAACTTCCGACAGGTGACACCTGCCTTGATCAGACTGTGTTTCTTGGGAAGAGCGATGGCCATCCTATCTAAATGGGCTCATAGACTCCCAAAGCAAAATGTAAATTTAGGATTGTTGGTTGTTTTTTTTATTTCTTTCTCTAAAAACGATGATGACAACCCTTTTTTCTTTGACCAAGTAACTGAAGGACCTTGACCAGCCACCAAGAGTAGATGGGTCAAGTGTCTGGTCCTTGGCGGTTGCTCTACAGAAGCTGCTGCTGCCTGGGAGAGGTCTACAGTAGAAAGCTCGAGTCCCATGAGACTTCTACAAATGAGTGTTTAGGTCATTTAAACTTGAGAATGATGTTAATGAGGGTTTTCAGTGAAAAGATGGAAAGAAAAAATTAGGTCTTCCCTGGTGGGTTTTAAATTTTTGCCGCAGGAAGACTGTCCAGAGGTTCATAATTTGCTGATATTCAAGTTCTTTAATGCATTTTACCACTTTCTGGCCCTGTACGCTTGACCTTGTTACAGTATTTTTAATAAGGTTGATTTAAAGTATTTAGGACAAGGCAAGTAGGAAATAAGTTAAAGGGGAAAAAAATGGGAAAAATCGGCTATTATCTTGAATTTAGCAGTAATAGCTCAAACCCCAGCATCTCTCTCTCTCCGTATTCTGAGGAGCGGTACCCAAATTTGGCAATCTTCTATCCTTTAAAGAGAGGGTTTTGCCTACCTAGAGACCTAAAAACGTCTCTACTATATTTTAGCTTGAAATCAGTTTTGACTGACAGAATGCCAGCGGGGAGACGAGCAGAAGAGGCTCGGCTGTACGCGCGATACTGCCTGCAGCAGCGTACTCGCACCTCGTAATAAATGCTGTTTTTTTGCCGGGAGGCTGCGTCTGGGGGGGCGACGGACACGACCGATCCCAAAAGCCGGGCAGACGTCATGCCAAGGTTGCACCAGTTGTGTCCATCTTCTGGGAAGAACGCCAAGCAGTGTTTGCTGGCCGCATAACAGCAAGTTTCAAGCAAATATGGTGGTATATTGTTAAATTAAATCATCTAAACATAGTTTTCATTTATTTGAAGAATTATATCAGCATTATTAAGGGGTTAGGTGTGGTAGGAGAGCCGGTGTCGGGGCAGGACTCCAATGAGTTAGAGGATGTAGGAAGGTAAAAAGGCAAAAAGACGGGACTCATCTCAAAGATTTTAAAATCGAAGTTAAATTTTTACAGCCTGAGGTAAAATCAGGGATATGACTTTATCTGTGGTTAAAACTGCCTATGTTTTTCATATTTGCATTTTCCAACACAGCTTTATAAATAAGTGGGATCAATACACTTTTATCAGAAAAGTTTCTGGAAACAGTTAAAAAAAAAATCATTGTTCTTAAATTAAGTTGTTGGCAGCATATCAGAAATGAAATTGTTGAAACTTCCCGAGTTATATGCGGTGAACTGAGCGACAACTTACAAGGGAAAAAAAATATACATGAGTTTCATCTCTTAAATAACACACTTGTGTTTTCAGTGATGCGATAACACGTTTTGGAAGAGCTTTGGGATTGTGGATAATGCGGCCGTCTTAATTCCACCGCGGGGTTAAGGAGCTGAAGCAGTACGAGGTCTCCTGCCAGGGTTTTTGGCACGTGCCCGGGGTGGGAGCCGTGCCCGCTTGTGCGCGGCCTCTCCGTTGGCTCCAAAATAACCCCCTGCTTGTATTTCCCCATGATGCACCCTAGAAACCCCCCGCAGCAGCTGTGACCTTTCTCCGAGTCCTCAAGTTTGAAGCTGGAGGAGGCAGTAAAGCACCAGAGCTCGTCTGGAGGACAACATCCAGCGAGGGGCTGGAAGGAAGCAGGCGTTGTCCCCTGGGGGGGGGGAAATGGTGGAGGCAAACAGTAGCGATGGAGTATTCGGAAAGTGAAGGCGATTCCTCTGACGAAGAGTGCTGTTTCTCGGGGAGCAGCGATGAGGAATCCTGCGAGCAAGTCCAGAAAGTGTCCGAGTCAGTGCTGGCAAACGAGGCTTGCGCTTAATTACTTGGGGCATTTGATGGTGTGCACTTCTCGTAATTACTTGTTGCATTTAATGCCCTGCGCTTAGGATAATTGCTTGTGCTGTGCACTTTTAGTCATTACTTTTGCATTTAATGCTGTGCACTTCTAGTAGTTACTTGTGTTTAATACTGTGCACTTCAAATAATTACTTTTCTATTTAATACTCTGCATTTCTGCACTTCTAAAGATTACTTACTGCGTTTAATGCTGTGCACTTCTAATAATTTCTCGTTGCATTTAATGCCGTGCGCTTCTAATAATTACTCGTAGCATTTAATGCCATGTGCTGTAGCTGACGGCCGCCTGTTGAAATACTACCTTTCAAAACGTGGACTGACAATTTTATTTTGCGCGAAGGTGACTGAGGTTAACTCGTAGACGGGTGGCATGGCCCTAGGTATGTTTGTCATTTTTAAGCCCATGTGAGGTGTTGGCGGTGTTTGGGAGTCCGAGTATGTCTTGTATTTCACAGCTGATGCGCGTAAAGGTTTAACATTTGTACAGAACCGATAATATGTTGATTTTTTCCTTCTGTTTTTAGAAGTTTGATGAGATTTTTAATCCTGCTTGCAGCCTTATTGGTAGACACCCCCTAACACAAGAGCATGCGAGGTTGATAAACCCACTTCCAATCAGTTGAGAATGCGGAACACAAAGCTGCTTTCCCCCATCGGTCCCTTCATTCGGTATTTGCAGGATGAGGGTTTTTTTTGTTTATCGGTATGGATAAATTAGCACTAATACACACTTAATTTCATTGAAAATAGACTCAAAGACAGCATTTGCATGTAGGCTTGAATATTCATGTTTCTTTCATTTGTATTGCTGCTTGCCCTGTTTTAAAGACGTCAAAGTAAAGATAGCTGAAAAGAAATTAAAGTTAATTAATGATTACCGCAAAGAGGAATCGCACACTCCTGTGTGAGTGCACATGCACCACCCATTTTTTTTTTACTATATTCCTCCTTTAACACCTCCAGTCTTTGAACAGGGGAACTGCTATTTCTAACAGCATTTTTAAATCTCATTTTCTGCTTCAGTGGAAGCATACAGTGGGTTTCCAGTCTAAACGAATTTGGTGTGTTTGAAAGAGGTGGGTCTCTTTTGCCTGTAATTCACTTACCCTTCATCCGTGGAAAGGTTTGGAGTGAATTTGAATACAACAGCGACCCTAAATCCTGTACGTTTGTTTGGCCAACACAGAAAACGCAATGGCATCTCTTAAACCCTGACGAAACGCTGAACCTGTCTGATTAAAATGAATTACCTTTGTATTTTATAGCTCGGGTTGGCCGCGGCCAAATTCTCGGTGGGGTGGGGAAAGGGAGAACAGAAAACAATTGGTAGTGAAGATACAGAAAAAAAATTCTAAGCGCAGTATTTTTAATTTCTGAAAAGCTGGGGAAAAGTACCAGCGTGGTGTTTTAATGCCGAGACCGTTCCAAAGCTCCTTCCTGATCAGGCCCCTTTTATAGGCATAGTCCCAGCCTCCTCCGTGCTCAGACGGCAAATGCATAGCGAGTCCTAAAGCCTGCCCTATACGTTGTACCTGCTCGGAGTAGCAGAGCTGACGTCCCACTCAACTAGATGCTTCGTGTTCCAACGCTGAGCTATTATGTAGGTTTGGGGGAAGAAGGACATGAGCAGAAGTCTAAATGTTCAGGAATAAATCTATGCAAATAGCTAATATGTTGATAAAACTGTTTCTGTTTGCAAACGTGCATAGGAAGAAGCGAGACTTTGCCTAAAGCAGATGAAAAGCGTGGGCTGATGTGTGGCTGGATGTCTTTTTTACATGGGGAACCTGTTTCTTTTTTCCCCACTCACACATGGTTTTTAGCTTCTGCGTGCTTGATGCCGGTGTGGATGATGAACATCAAATCACTATAGGGAAGAAGCTGTGAAGCCCAGACATTTATTCTTGAAGTGCTTTAAGAATGCCATATCTTTGGAAATGAATAAGATTATCGCGAAAATAATACAGCTTACTTAGTAAATGTATTTTTTTTTCTTTCAGGGAGGATGTCAGAACAGCCAACGTCATCGCAGCTGAAGCGGTAACTTGTCTGGTCATAGACAGAGAGTAAGTACATCATTTTCCTGCTTTGGGGTAGGCTCTATCTCTAGTTGGCACTTTTTAGAGTTTTTAATTTGATCATTTTCTCCAGAGAGATCGTTTAATTTTGAGGAATACGGTCACTGTATATAAGTGTCCTTGATGAAGTAGAGGGAAGGTCCTCCTAAGTCAATAAGACAAAACTCAGTAGTGACAAATGCAGACAAATAAGAAGCGCAGAGAGACAAAATTGAAATAAATGGGGAGACAGCATTACTGTGGAAACGGATCCAGGCATTATGGTGGAAGATAGATTGAGTTCGTGTCGGTAAAATGTCATGAAAGGCATCAAGCTTCTGGCAAATGTTAGAGCAAGATGATGTTATTCTAGTCCATGTGGGGACAGAGAGCCCACGTCCAAGGGACGTAGCCCTCCTTGAAGCTCTGCAGCTCAAAGGAGGTAGAGGAGATCAGAAGAGTAAAATAATGTCTTATATAGGGACATTGAAGGAATTGGGGGATTTTAATCAAGAAAATAAATGCGTGGGCTCTAGAAAACGGTGCTGCGAATTCAACGTCTCTCTACAATTGTTGGGAATGGGATTAAAAAAACCCGAGTGTTGCCTTGAAAATTCAACATGACTCTTGGGGTGGTTTTCTGGTTGTGAGGGCACAGAAGCACTGGCATAGACCATCAAAAGATATGGGTGAATCTTCCACGGGAATCCTTCCAAGGCAGTGTAGTAAAGCTCTGTGAAACCATGAGAGAGGCGGGTAGGATAAATGCAGATTGACTTTTCAGTGTCTCCCCCAGTGCGAGACCCCAAAGAAACCTGCAGGAGGGAAGCGAAAGCCGAAAGGAGGTGGCTTTTCACGTGGGGATCGCTCGCAGAGCTGTAAGAAAACAAGAAGAGTTTGCAAGCATCCAAAAGGAAAAGAAATCCATTGGATTGTTTAAATATGTAGGACCTACCTCTGGGCCAGGAACTTTCAGAAAGGCTGTAGGAGAGTACCGAGGCAGATATCACAAATGCTTGCTCTGTCCTTGAACTCTTCCCTGAGTTCAAGGGAAGAGTTCTTCATAGCCTTGATGCAAGACAACGTCAAAGGTCAGATGCTGGGTTAGGAGTGACCTCTGAAGCCCTTCTTATGTTCTGATGAAATATATGAGAGATGCTCAGGTATCTCATAGGGATGATCTATATACACTCAGTCCTGCTTTGACACAAGTGTTTTGTTTTCAGTTATCCCGCAGTCCTCCATTTCTAGAAATCTGGTGTTCTGTAATGGCCGAACTGGGGAATAGTGCTTCAAAAGTCCTGATGCGTTCTGATATGTTAGTTTGTTTATGATCAATTAAAAAAAATGATAGTCTATCCATTGAAAACAGATGGCGAACGTCAGGGACTGTCAGCTGAGTGGTTTTCTCTCTCATACACAAGCGAGGCAGCCCGGCAGATAAAAGACACGCTATCCCTTACGGTTCTGTGGGACAAAGAAAAGAAGAATTGACATAATTAGAGCATTTAGCAAGACATAATTCAGAGAAATACAAAGCAACAAGTAATTTATGCATTTTCTTCTGAACACTTCTGTAAGGGATGTTTTTGTTTGGCACTGTAAGTGTTAAAACCCCCAAATAACTAATAATTGCAGAGTCAGTCGTCCCTGATCATTTTACAGACTGTTTCTTTGCTTGTCTCTTGTGCCGCCTCCTCGGTATATGATGCCCTTGAAATAGTAAGGAAGTACAAGTTAAATTTAAACTGATGAAGCTGCAGTTAATCTATACCAGAGATTCTAGTAATGCTCTGCAATTAGTAGCAGAGTAACACTATTTATAAGAATCCTATTTATAGTGCAAGAAAAGTAATGCTATTTATAGTTCAAGGAAGGTTGTCCTATGTCCTGACCAGTTCTGACTTTCTTCTTAGAGCTTTTCTCTTAGATTAATGTTTTATACCCATGCAAATAGCTGTAGAAGCTAATTTTAATACGGAGAAAATCTACTAGGACTTCTGTAAATTTGGAAAATTGTGCAGATGCTGTTCCGCTAATGAGGAAAAATAACATTTCTTCCTATCCAGACACACAGAACATTACAACATTTAGTTTGTTATGGTGGTCACGGTGAATGTGCACGTTGAGTTATACGCAAAGTAACAATGGAAACTGGAAGTCGGCTTTACCTGCGGTCGGAAGCTATTCTGTGCCAAAGGAGGAGTGATGCATGGCATTAAGGTTGCCTAATATTTTCTATTACAAGACAAGCTCTTGGCTTAATCAGGTGTAACTATTGAAGCAGGAATTTTCATGCTCTCTGCGTGTCTCGATCTGCAACGTTTCAGCGGAATTGATGTCACAATTTCAAAGAGCAAGTTACAGGAAAATATCATTTCCTTAACAGTCAATCTGTTTCTCTGAGAAACAGTCTTACTGACAGCAGGCGTTAATATTACCCATTGGCATTATCTTGTCATCAGGGTAACTCTTCCAGCTTCCTTGTAAAAGTCTTCTTCTCTACTCTACTCTGGTGAGACCTGAAGTGTTGTGTCCAGCTCTGCAGCCCCCAGCGTAGGACAGAAACAGACCTGTTGGAGTGGGTCCAGAGGAGGGCCACGAAGATGATCCAAGGGCTGGAGCACCTCTGCTATGAAGACAGGCTGAGGGTTGGTGTTGTTCGTCCTGGAGAAGAGAAGGCTCCAGGGAGACATTATTGCGGCCTTCCAGTATCTGAAGGGGGCGTACAAGAAAGCTGGGGAGGGACTTTTTACAAGGGCATGAAGTGATAGGATGACGGGGAATGGCTTCAAACTGGAAGTATTGAAGCAGGAATTTTCATGCTCTCTGCGTGTCTCGATCTGCAACGTTTCAGCGGAATTGATGTCACAATTTCAAAGAGCAAGTTACAGGAAAATATCATTTCCTTAACAGTCAATCTGTTTCTCTGAGAAACAGTCTTACTGACAGCAGGCGTTAATATTACCCATTGGCATTATCTTGTCATCAGGGTAACTCTTCCAGCTTCCTTGTAAAAGTCTTCTTCTCTACTCTACTCTGGTGAGACCTGAAGTGTTGTGTCCAGCTCTGCAGCCCCCAGCGTAGGACAGAAACAGACCTGTTGGAGTGGGTCCAGAGGAGGGCCACGAAGATGATCCAAGGGCTGGAGCACCTCTGCTATGAAGACAGGCTGAGGGTTGGTGTTGTTCGTCCTGGAGAAGAGAAGGCTCCAGGGAGACATTATTGCGGCCTTCCAGTATCTGAAGGGGGCGTACAAGAAAGCTGGGGAGGGACTTTTTACAAGGGCATGAAGTGATAGGATGACGGGGAATGGCTTCAAACTGGAAGAAGGGAGATTTAGATTGGATATCAGGAGGAAATTTTTCACCACGAGGGCGATGAGCCCCAGGCCCAGGTTGCCCCGAGAAGCTGTGGCTGCCCCATCCCTGGAGGTGTTCAAGGCCAGGTTGGACGGGGCTTGGAGCAACCTGGGCTGGTGGGAGGTGTCCCTGCCTATGGCAGGGGGGTTGGAACTGGATGATCTTCAAGGTCCCTTCCAACCTAAACCATTCTATGATTCTGTTATTCCCAAGACATCCAAAAATTGTTCCACAGAACACCCGAGAGCCACGCGGCTAATACAGCTGCCATGCTTCCATCTAATTAACACTTGAACTGTAAGAGTCCCACCTCGGTATCACAGCAAGTTATTCCTAAGGGAGATGGAAGACTGGTCTCTGGATTTGGCAATATTGTGAGCAATTGTCAGGCTGTTTCAGTCGCTGGAGGATTTTAAGGGTAATAATACAGGAAACTTTCTTTATAGGGTTGAGGCAGGCCACCAAGCAAGCTCTAGGTGAGTTGGGTTTGAGATGAGACGTTGCTTAAGCATGAAAAGGTGAAATGGTTTGCCTAAAATCATTTCTGAAATTCAAAACATACATATTAAAATGCTACAGGGGTGAAGCAGTGAGAGTTGCAAATGCCATGAGGAAAGCCAAACATGATGGGTCCTTAATTACCAAACTTGCACGATGTCAGTGCTGCCTTGCTTTTTAATTTCCATGTGAAACAAGACCGTTACAGTCACAAAAACACCCCACAACCACCCAAATAGTAGTAGTACAGCTATTTCTTGCAAAGCTGTGTAGATATGCATTGAAAAAATGGATTTTCAGCATCCTTTTCTGATGTAGAAATGAGCAGTCATGATCTAACAAAGCAAACAACCTGCAGTGCAGCATTTGATGTCTCCCACAGACTTTAAGGCATTTTGTTCCCACTTGTCCTTGTCATGAAAATATTTGTTATGAAGGACAACGTTGACGTTCTTTCCGTCTTGCAGTTATCTTTTTAAGTCACTTCCTTCACCAGAATAATGAATTTCAGTGGGATTTGGTCCTTAACGCTCTCTTGCTTCATCAGCAATCTCCACCACACAGGAGGTGAGATGAAGCTGATCATCCGGCTCCAACCAAACTGTAGGAGAAATTTCAGCTGACTTTGCTAAGGCTTAATGTCAGATTATGCTGCATTTCACTCCCATGTGAATGAATAAATATTGCTCTCGAACAATCGGAGACTTGAACATCCTTTTCTGTCAATTGGAGAGATAAGGATTTGATGGGTGGACTGTTTGGTAGGTAAGGATGGTCTTATCCAGAGAGCTGTGGTCTACGGCTCGATGTTTGGGTGGAGATCAGTGGCGAGTGGTGTCCAGACCTCGGGGGTCCCCACTGGGACCAGTACTGCTTAATGTCTTCATCAATAACATAGTGGGATCGAGCGCACTCTCAGCAAGTTTGCAGACAACATGAAGCTGTGTGGTGCTGTTGACACACCTGAGGGACTGGAGGCCATCCAGAGGGACCTGGAGAGGCTTGAGAAGTGGGCCCATGTGAACCTCATGAGGTTCAACAAAACTAAGTGAAGGGTCCTGCACCTGGATCGGGGCAACGGGGGTATCAGTGGTGGGGATGAAGGGATTGAGAGCGGCCTTGGGGGCTGTACTGGTGGATGAAAGGCTG